TTTTCTTCAGTAATTGTCTCAAAGTGTCAGTTTGGGAAGTTGGTTCTTTTCCTTGCTTACTGCATCAACATGATATTTTGTTGGTTCAGAGCACAAATACGAGATTGTAAAACGCTTGCAAGCTATGAAACATATCTGTGGGATGACCGGTGATGGAGTGAATGATGCTCCTGCACTTAAGAAAGCAGACATAGGTATAGCTGTTGCAGATGCAACTGATGCAGCTCGGAGTGCTTCTGATATTGTTCTTACCGAACCTGGTCTCAGTGTTATAATCAGCGCCGTCTTGACCAGTCGAGCAATATTTCAGAGGATGAAGAATTACACGGTAACCTTTGGTTTCACCCAAATATATTTCTTGATTTAGTAGTTGGATTTTCAGGTTGAATCATGTGAGATTACATTACTGCTACCCTCTCTTTTCCTTTTTTTAAAGTTCTAATTTGTGTTGGATGTGAGATCTAATTTGTCAGTACATAATCGTTTAATTTTTGTCCATGTCAGATTTATGCAGTTTCGATCACAATACGTATTGTGGTAAGTTAGTGGTTCATCATTAAGATGTATATTGAATATATACTGAATGACAAATTGTGTTATTTTTATAATCATAAGTACATATAATGTTTCTAACACGTGTGGTTGATTTTGTTTGCTGCAGCTTGGATTCATGTTGCTGGCCCTCATTTGGAAATTTGATTTTCCACCATTTATGGTGCTTATCATCGCTATCCTTAATGATGGTTCGTTCAAAATTCTTCTAGTTGATCTGCTGATTATTTTTTCATATATTTCTTCACTCTTTCGACTGTTATTTACATGTAGGTACTATCATGACAATATCAAAGGACAGGGTGAAACCATCTCCTCTACCAGATAGTTGGAAGCTGGCTGAGATTTTTACTACTGGCATTGTACTTGGTAGTTACTTGGCAATGATGACGGTCATCTTTTTTTGGGCATCATATAAAACTAACTTTTTCCCTGTAAGATAATCCAACTTCCTTAATACTACTACTTATAGGCCATGTTAAATGGGATTAACCCGTCAAGTGTTACAGAACTATAGATTCATAATCCTGCTCCTTTTTTGAGTTCTATTATCTGTAGATGATGTATTTGTCTCATTTTGTGAGCAGCGCATCTTTGGGGTGCCAACCCTCGAAAAAACAGCTCATGATGACTTCCGAAAGCTAGCCTCAGCTATATATCTGCAAGTCAGCACTATCAGTCAGGCTCTCATTTTTGTTACACGGTCTCGGAGTTGGTCCTACATAGAGCGACCTGGGTTGTTTCTCGTGGTGGCTTTTGTGCTCGCTCAACTGGTGAGGCGACATCTGTTTCGATTGTTTCTCCTGTCTTTCAAGTATATTGGAAGACAACACTAACACTAAGTTTGGATCTATCAATGAACAGGTTGCCACTCTGATTGCTGTCTATGCTAATTGGAGTTTTGCTGCCATTGAAGGAATCGGTTGGGGTTGGGCTGGTGTAATTTGGCTTTATAACATCATCTTTTATATTCCTCTTGATCCCATAAAGTTTGCTATCAGATATGCTTTGAGTGGGAAGGCTTGGGAGCTCATGCTTGAGCAAAGGGTACTAATTTGAACTGTTTTGCATTTACCTTATAAAAGCATATTTTTGTTGGTATGTTGTAACAATTGGTTTCTTTACTTGAATTTTGTATAGGTTGCTTTCACAAGACAGAAGGATTTCGGTAAGGAACAACGTGAGCTGCAATGGGCACATGCACAAAGAACATTGCACGGGTTGCAACCGCCTGATACCAAGATGTTCACCGAGCGGACTCATTTCACAGAACTCAATCACATGGCTGAAGAAGCCAAAAGGAGAGCTGAAATCGCTAGGTATGCTGAAGTGCTCATGAGTTGGTAGTTTGTTACTTTTATCATATTCTTGGAAACTCGAACGTCGTCCTAGGTCTGACATTTTATCTGCAATTTAAAAGTGTGAGCTAGTCTAAGTTATCATTCGTTCTGCAACCGTGAATTTGGTTTGATTTCATATATCTTGCAGATTGAGGGAACTCCATACACTGAAAGGTCATGTAGAATCAGTGGTGAGATTGAAAGGCCTCGACATTGAAACGATTCAACAAGCGTACACCGTGTGAGTGGATGCTCAATACTGTAAAAATTAAAATTCTGTCTTGTAGTAGTGTACGGACTGCTGGTATTTAGAAATGCAATTGGATGGCATGTGCTATTTGCAAGTTAAACAAGGATGAAACAACATTTTTACACCTGTACTTGGCTTTCAGTTTTTTAGCACGTTAGAGGACTATGTCGTTTTCGACACTTTTCTGTGTTGTAGTAGTCTTTCTTTCTATTGCTGGATTTGACGTATCCTGTAATGCACCCCCAAGAGGAAGTTCTTAGGAAATGATGCCATTTATGTTCATTCCAAACTCTACTGGATTCTCATGGTGTTTTTCTTTTCTCAGTTCCCACTGCAGCTGAACCAAACAAAACATGTTCCCAGTCTCTCAAATCTCTCATTTCCTGCACTCTTTATGTTCACTAGTGTGACACTGACACTTAACTAACGAAAGCCAAAACCCGATAAGACACTAAGGACAATTTAACAAGCTTAAATTAGGTCATAAGACACGAGACCGGGTGTAGTTACATCATACACTAACCAGCTTTTCAATTAGTGATCACATATCATGCTCCACGTGACTAATGCAGCTTGAGATTGCAATCGTGACTTGCACAGCTTTCTTCTAGAACGCTGCATCCCTGAGATGACGAGTACTAAGCATCTTTGGTCAAGTTAGACATCAATAAACAATCAAATTAAGAGAGACATTTAAAATTCAGAAGATTATAATTTGACTAGTAAGTACCACATACTGGTTTCTATCTTCTAAATTACACCAACTCAGGCTACTTTCATCAAGATCTTTGCTACCAAATTCTTTTTACCTATTCCACTTTGCACAAACTAGAAATAGACCAAATTCTACAATTGCAATGCAGCAGCTAGAATTATCTAATCTTCCTTTGTTAAGATCTTCAGCCAACCAATCTCCATTGGCACTACCCATTGTCTTCTCATGATCCATTGAAATCAAGAAACTACTCAAATAGCTGGATATTACATACCCAACAAACAGAAAAGACTCTCCAATGCTTCTCATGTTCTCTGGGACTTGCTTGTAATAGAACTCAATATAACCAATAGATGTGAAAGCTTCAGAAATGCCTATCAAGATGAACTGAGGTATCAACCACAAAGCAGACATTGAAGAAATGGCTCTTCTTCCAAACTCAGCCCCTATTGGTTTCTCAAGAGCTCTCTTGTTCTCAACAAAAGCAGAGAGAACCAGGGTAGCAATGTTGAGTGTCAGGCCAACACTCATCTTTAGGAGAATTGGTATGAGGATTCAGTCGTAGATCGGTACTCAAATGGTGACGTGGATCACTGTTGAGATGTAGAAGGAGGTGGCCGGAATCTTGAAACTGGTGTGGTCGAGATGGCGATCAGAATGAAGAGCTTGAAACACTCCATTGGTTTGATGGACTATCGGGATGTAGTAAATGATACTTGTAGACCATATGGGAATTATCCTTATAGGCATTTCAGTTCTTCAACTTGCTGAATGCTGCAAAGCCGCCATGGATGAGCTGCTGATCCAGCAGAATTGATTTGGTCTCCAGGGGTTAGGATTGCAGCCTTGTCAAGGACAATAATGTGAAGGGATGTTGCTTCTGAAATCAAAATGGGTTAGTTAGTTATTATTTTGGTTAAATAACGAGTTTGGTTATTAGCTTCTAGAGATTGTGTTGATTTAGTCATTGGATTTTAAAAAGTTTCTAATAGGTTGTTTTAAACTTTTAGGATTGTCAGCAATACTTTAAATGTTCCAAATATGTCTACCTCCACCTTTGCTGCATCCTTGCCGAGAACCACCACCCCCTTGTTAACCCCTTCGTCAACATCTCCTCTTCATCCACTCACCATCATCGTTGCTAATCTTACCCCACTCGTCAATGACATCACTTAGTCCTAAACTTATAATTTTGTGTTTAATCTATCTTTGTCATTAATTCGAACCACACTTATATGGTAGAGTAAATATGTATTATTTAAGAATCATGTAATAGGTTAATTTCAAGCGTAAATCTTAAATAATACAGTCAGCACATTTGGCCAACTCTAAACTAAGACAAAGAACTTATTAGATAAGGAAGTTAGGTAAAAAAATATTTAAAATACAAAGAATATATTTCAAAAAGCTTTTCATTACATGAACTGACCGCTGTGGTAAAGTTTGGAATTAATGGAGTTGGATGGCTTCTTAAACCTTACACTTGTCAAAGGACTGCCGAATGGTACCGTTGGGTTAAAATTTTTAAGTGGTCAAAGGTGTTAACATTTAAAAAATTTTCCCTCCAAATTTTTAGAATTAAAAGATTGTATACAATAACAAGTTAAATTTTTACCTTTAAACCTAAGTGAGCGAGTCGAGTTATTAGCAACTTTGGATTTAATAGTCAATCTAAATATAATTCAATTAGTTAAGATATTTTCGATCAAAAGATCAGAGTTTCGAATCCACACCTTTCATTGAACTAAAAAAAATTGTTAGAAGGTTAAAGAGGGAGTAGAGGCAAAATCAAGGGTGTGTTGAGGCATTATAATTAAATATAAAATTGAAAGTTTAAAGCTATACACTTGACTCAAAAGGACTATTTTATCCACTAAATTTTGATTCGCATATAATATTTTGACTAATCTAGTTATGTTGTTTTATAAATTTGAGAAATTGTAGTGGACTTTCGTTTTTTTAAATGTTTTTATATATTTACAACTGCCTCTATAAATTTTATATATAGTTATTTAAGGTCGTTGGAATTTGTTATACTAAAAAAATGTAAAATAAAATTTATATTTAATATTAATAAGCTATTTTTGCTATATTTCGTTTCGTTTTATTTTTTTTTTCCAAATATGAACAAGTTAAAAAGAAATAGAAGGAAATAAAACATTCTTCAATCAATTTTATTGGTTTAACAAACTCGTTCCTGAAATCAAAACTCTAATTTCACTTTACAAAGCGCTAAGGCTAATGACAGAAATCTCTGCAACCAAAAACAAAAACCCTAATCTTCTCACGCATTCATCAACATTCTGCAGCTGCTTCCTTCGTCTCCTTCTCAGGCAAATCAATCTGATGCTCGTTTTCCGTCGACTTCTCCGCCGGAACTTCCCTTTTCAGTTTAGTATTTTCATCGTAACTCGTCACAAACCGGCTTGCGAAGAAGACGAAGTACAGTAGATTCAGAGTTGCGATAATGGCGATTAAGTAATAGTAGTAATCCAGCCTAGTTTGGTTCAGGTCGTGGCCCCCTACCCATGGAATTTTTCCGGTTTTTGAGGTCACAGCGTGTACCAGATTCACTATTAGAGAGCTCACGAAGCTCGAAACCGAGAGCGTGAGGAAGAAGATGGCTCCTGCAACAGTTCTCATGTGTTCTGGCATATTCATATTGAAGAACTCCATTACCGCTATCGTTGCAAAAGCTTCCATTAACCCAGAAAGGGCATGCTGCGGCAACATGAATGCGAAGCTCGTCGTTGAATTGAACGAGCCATTTTTCAGAGCAGATTCTCTTCGATATTTCTCAACTACCCCAGAGACGACCATACACATGATCGACAAGAAAATCCCTATGGTGATTCTCTGCTTCACTGTGAGTCTTCTCTCTTTTCCGGTGATTTTCTTTGCCATTTTGATAAAAACCCTCTCGTAGATTATGATCCATATAGACAGCGCAAGCAGCGAGCCCATTTTCACCCAGGCGGGTGGGAATTTGAAATGGGATCCGATTGATCTGTTCGTCTGCATAGCCTGAAGAATCCCCAATGTGTTGGGTTGATCGAAGACTATGAAACACCCCATTCCTGATACCCAAACGGGAATGATCGCGACCAGACATTTGAGTCCTTCCACTTGCTGTAAACTGCACAATCGCCATGGATTCTTTGGTTTCCCCTGTTCATCCAATTCCTCATCTGGGTTCACTATAATCGCAGCTTTATCCAGCCATTTGTACCTATCTGTATGAGCCATCTTCTCTCCATCTAAAGAATCCGCCATTGGGGGGTCATAAAACGAGTGAGACGAAACAGAGTGTCTTCGTTTCCTACAGGCAGCGGTTATGACCCTGACCATATCGGAAAAAATGCTTCCTCTGGGCTCGGCGAGGATGTAAGTATGGCGGCCCCACAAGAAAAACAAGATGGAGAAGAAGAAACAGATGGTGGGGATGACAAATCCGATGGCCCAACTTACGTTAGTCTGAACATAAACAACGCCGGTGAGGGCTATGAGAAGGGCCATGGTGAAAGAAAGGTACCACCAATTGAAGAAGCTCTCTAATTGAGACCTCCCCTTTTCCGTGCGGGCGTCAAATTGGTCCGCGCCGAAGGCAACGCTGCAGGGGCGGATCCCGCCAGCTCCAATCGACAACAACCCGAGACCGGTGAATAGTACGAGGAGCTGCCAGAAATGTGGCTGTGGGCAATGGTGGGATTTCTCAATGTCGCAAGAAGGTGGTCTGAGCTGGTGGAGAGCTGCTGTGAGAGCAACAGCCCCCGTTCCCTTCAAGAGTAATTCTGAGAATCAAAACTAAACAATGGAAAGAAAATGGAGAAATGGTGATGAATGGGAGAAGGGGGAAGTTTACCAAGAAAGATGCAATGGAGCCGTAGAGGAGGGTGCGGTAGCGGCCGAGATAAGAATCGGCAATGAAAGCACCAGCTAAAGTGGCGATGTTGGAAGCACCACTCCAAATGTTAACAACATTGACCACAAAAATGCCGTTGAGATTGTACTGTGTGCTCAGATACACTGTGATGTTGGACATGAGACTCATGGACGAGAGCTTCTCAAACGCCTCGTTCCCTTCAAACAGATGAAGAAGGTAAGTGAAAACAAGTCAACAGAAACTCCAACCATTCATTCATTGGTATTGTAATGTATTGTTTGTGTTACCGATAATGTATTTGACGGCACGCCATCCTCCTGGTTTGCGGCGAGGCGGCTGTAAGGGAGGAGGAGAAGAGGGAGCTGCAGATTCCAACTCCATGGCGGCTGCTGTGTGAGTGAGAGTTCGATGAGGTTGGAAATTGGAAGAGAATTCTTAAAGGAGGAGTTGGAAAGCAGCGTTGGAAATGGTCCAAATTGAAACTGTTAAAGATGAGATTTTTCTTTTCCTCATCAGTTTGGTTTTGTGCTGAATTTGATCCTATTTTCCCGTTTTCCGCCCCCACCTCAACTGTACCAATTCTTCTTTCTCCCACACTACCTGCATGCTCATTTTTCTCAACTTTTATTATTATTTTTTAGATTTTTGTGAGTGTCCAGGTTAGTCTGGGACAATAGTACACTTTATTACATTTTGATTGTTAAGATAATTTCTAGAATATTAAATTGTAAGTAAGTGGTTACCATAGTTTAAACCCGTTCTTAAGTTAGATATTTGCGTGACATTAATTATATTAATAAGTGACATATGACAAGTGGTATGATAATAAGTGACATATGACAAGTGGTATGATAGAGTAGACTAAGCACGACAATTTCTCATTTAAGTAATATTAATGAGATACAAGTTTATTCCAAAAGAAAAAAAGAGAAATAGATACAAGTGAAAAAAAAAAAAGAAATAGATACAAGTGAAAAAAAAACATTAATCATGGTTAATTGGAGTATAATTTAGTGGTCAACATGAATTGATGCTTGTTTTTTATTAAGAGAAAGTTCAAATCCCCAAATTCTACTAGAAAAAATAAGAGTATAGTTTAGTGTATAAGATATAATATTAAAACATTTAAAGTATTTAAATGTTAAAAATCTAAAGAGTATTTTTAATTGTTTAAATAAAAGTTAAATCTTACTTTGGTTTTAAAATTTTTAGACTTCTCATTTGATTTTCACCTTTTAATTCAGTTTCTAAACTTAAAAAAAATAAATAAATCATTTTAGTCAAATGGGCAATATAATTTTTGATGTGTATTACTTTGCTGGTGTAGGTATTTTGAGTGTTTAATGACCTAAAATATACTATAGAATAGTAAGGTGGAAAAATAATATCAAAGATAAAAAGGGTTAAAATTTAGAATGGTAGAATAAATATTTTGATAGTTTAACCATTAAAGTAAATATTGTCAACTTCTCAATTAATTAAGGTATTGATTAAAAAATCGTGAGTGTAAATTTTTTTAGTACAACATACACTAAACTAGACGAAATTAAGTACAACTTGATTATGAAAATATTTGTTTTGAAATAGAGACAAGTAAAGGATATTTTAAAGTGAAATTTGGTGCATTTATTCTCCATTACATAACCCTTATTCTATCTAGAATAATAAGCATTAAAAAATTATTTATAAAATATATGTGAACAAAGGGAGTTGATATTTCTTTAATATGACAGTATTTTCTAATCATTTATTATATTTCTATAATCTGTGAAAATAAAAAAGAATTTTACTAGATGTTTCCCTTTCATACACCTAATTGAAGCAATTTCCGTCAAATACGTGTCCCATGTTTGGAGCGAACGAACTCAAGAATGAAGATCGAGGGAAAAGTCCCAAAATCCACTTTTGAATTTCTCGTTGCGTTTCATTTGCACAATTCTCAATGCCCACTTTGAAAAAAGCCTGCCCACTGCCCACTCTGCTCATGAATTGCAGCAAAGAAAAGTAATCTGTCTCTCTCTCTCACCTCTTCAAATGATTATTCAGTTTAATAATGACAATCCTCCTCTCATTTCCATTTACCACACCACCTCAACCTTCCTTCGCACTCCACCCCTTCTCTTTTTATCATCACAATGAAACCCTCCTCTTCTATCTTGTCCAGCTGAAGCTCAGCAGCCTCAATGGGCATTCACTGAAAGCAGTGAAAAACGTTTCCGCAGGAAAAAAATCAAATGGGCATGTTGATTTTGATCTTCTCCTCGCTTTTATTATCGACCCTTTTCAGCCCTTGCTCTCTTGCTCTTACTCAAGATGGTAAATCCCATTTTTCGATTTTTCCCATTTCGGACTCTTTAACCTGTTTTGGTATGCTGAAGAATGATTCTGAGTTGATGCTTTTGATTGAACCAATCAAATAAAATGAGTACCAATAGCTGTAGCTTGAAGCTTATTTTCTGTTTCATGTGAATGATTCGATCAGATTTCACCTTATTCAATCTCACAGTTTTCTGATTCTCCATTTCATAGGCCTGACGTTGTTGGAACTTAGAACCGCTTTTAATGATAGTAGAAATCTCCTTGGTGATTGGGAAGCTTCTGATGAGTCTCCCTGCAAGTGGATTGGAATCTCTTGTCACCCCGAGGACCAACGGGTCAGTTCAATGTATGTCACATTCCATGATTGCCTTCTTCCTCTATTTCAAGATTGTACTGCATCTTCTATAAATTGGTCTTTTGATTTTTTGATTTGGGATGTTTTCAGTAACTTACCTTACATGCAACTAGGAGGGATTATTTCTCCCAGCATTGGTAAACTCAGTAGATTACAGAGACTGTAAGTCCTGCAGCCATTTCTTCCCCCACGCTTCCCCTCCTCTCAACAAGAATCTCTTTTATGTTTTAAAGAGATTCCATTTTACTTCTCCCTCATTATCTTTTGAATATACAACAGGGCACTTCACCAAAATAGCTTACATGGATATATTCCTCATGAAATCGCTAATTGTACTCAGCTCAGAGCCCTGTAAGTGAAGAGTGTTGCGGCTACTATTTCCATATAATACACAAACATTCATCCACATGCACATTTTGACCATCTGATTAGGTATTTGAGGTCTAATTATCTCCAAGGTGGCATACCATCGGATATCGGAAGCCTATCTGCCCTTACAATACTGTAAGTTTTCCTGAATGCTTTGGCAATTTTGAGTTTGCCTCTGTTTTAGGATATTTGAGATTTTGCTTTAGTTGATATAAAACATGTAATTGACTTGGGGCCAATTTGTTGATGTTGAAATTCTTTTACAGATTGGGGTTTTTCTGTTTGTTTCATTATTATGTATTTTCCTAATATTGAGGTTCAAATTTAGGGATTTATCAAGCAATTCGTTGAAGGGTGTTATTCCATCATCCATTGGCCGTCTCTCACTTCTGCGCCTTTTGTAAGTAGAATGGCACTTTTAGCTGTGGTATACAACAAGAGTTCAGGTAGCAATTTAGCAGTGGTGATATTATCGTTTTTATGTTACCTTTTTCATTTCATTTGCAGGAATTTGTCCACCAACTTTTTTACTGGGGAAATACCAGATTTTGGAATTCTTAGCACCTTTGGAAGAAATTCGTGAGTAGTCAAATCACACATATTTTCCTAATTTACATTCATACTAAGTTGTTGAATCATATATGAAAATGTGACATCCTGTGCCTGAAAATTTGAACCTCCTAGAGGGTTAAAACTTAAGTTGTGAATAGCTATGGCTATGCATCTTGGTTATATGTTTTTAACTCTTCGATTAGTATGTTTGGGATGACTTTTAGAAAAAATGCTTTTTAAATAAAAACACATTTTGTATCGGAACTTTTTGAAAAATTATTAATTTATAGTATATTTAATATAGCTTCCTAAGTGATTTTGAATAAATAAAAGTGTGTTTGAAAAAAATCCATGATGTATGGTAATAAATAAAAATCATTTTTTATAAAATTGAATTGCTTTTAAAACCTTTAAACAACAAAAACTTGAGAGATAGTTATCGAAAAAGCGACTAACACTCTTTTAGTTTAAGCACTTGAAAAGATGATTACTAAAAAAAGGGGAAAAAAGTGCTTAAACTAAAAGCGATACCAAACTCACCCTATATATATGGTTTAAAATCATTTAAGGGGTACATTCCAGTTTTTTTTTTTTGGTCAATTCATGTGTCTTGCACCTTGCACCTTGCTGACTAATGTATATGATTTCAGCCAACTTAACTACCATGGTCCTGAACATGTAACATAAACCCTATGATTTATTGTTTAAGCTTCATTTCCTCTGAATGATTTTAAAATAGAAAACAGGTTTAGTTTGGAGAACATAACATCTGTTACTGTTGGATTCTTTCTTTGGAGATTGTCAGATTGATAGTAAAGTGTGTAACTGCAGGTTCATTGGCAATCTAGATCTCTGTGGTCATCAAATTAACAAGCCCTGCCGAACCTCAATGGGATTCCCTGCAGTGTTGCCTCATGCTGAAAGTGACGAAGCTACTGGTTTGTTTGCTGGAAAACAACATTCAAATTGAACAACTTGTATCGCCTTGTAAAACTTAAATTTCTCATGATTTTCTGTAGTTCCTTTGAAAAGGCCTTCACACTATATCAAAGGGGTAATAATTGGTGCAATGTCCACAATGGGTGTTGCACTTATAGTACTTGTTCCATTCTTGTGGATCCGTTGGCTTTCAAAGAAGGAAAGAGCGGCCAAGAAATACACAGAAGTCAAGAAGCAAGTGGTTCATGAATCAAGTAATCCTTGGTTCTCATATTACAAATTTCGTTTTGTCTTTCACATTATCTAATTTATGTTAAACCTCATTGTATAACAGGCACAAAACTCATTACTTTTCATGGTGACCTTCCATACCCATCATGTGAGATCATAGAAAAGCTGGAGTCACTGGATGAAGAAGATGTTGTCGGTTCAGGCGGATTTGGTACTGTATACCGAATGGTGATGAATGATTGTGGAACTTATGCTGTTAAAAAGATTGATGGAAGCAGAAAAGGTTCAGACCAAGTGTTTGAGAGAGAGTTGGAGATCTTGGGTTGCATTAAACATATAAACTTGGTCAACTTGCGGGGATATTGTAGTCTCCCGGCTTCAAAGCTTCTGATCTATGACTTTCTAGCAATGGGTAGCTTAGATGATTTCTTGCATGGTATGGCATTAACATGGGTCCATCCAGTGATTCTGAAAGATTTTGTGCCTCATTAATTTTTCCATCTTTCTCTTAGTTTTTTTTTTCTTTTTTTGCCCCTGTGATTCTGTGAATATGGGTTAAAAATGTGAAGAGAATATTATTGTATCTCGTGCAGAACAGGGACCAGAAAAACAACCTTTGGATTGGAGAGCTCGTATAAGGATAGCCTTGGGCTCTGCTAGGGGGATTTCATACTTGCATCATGATTGTAGTCCTAAGATCGTGCATCGTGATATTAAATCGAGTAATATTCTACTTGATGAAAACTTGGAGCCCCATGTTTCTGACTTTGGACTGGCCAAGCTTTTGGTTGATGACGATGCCCATGTCACAACTGTTGTTGCTGGAACATTTGGATATTTGGCTCCAGGTACTCATTGCTTATTCCTTGTGTACGCACTCAGACTTCTCCATTTGAAAGCTACGTTTGATAGGATATTTCAAGAATGATTTAAAAATTTCCCCTACTCTGTTATATGGCTAACTTCACCATTACGAAGCAGAATACCTGCAAAGTGGGAGGGCAACTGAAAAATCCGATGTTTATAGCTTTGGAGTTTTATTACTGGAGCTGGTGACTGGGAAGAGACCAACTGATCCAGAATTTGTAAAGAGAGGCTTAAATGTTGTTGGCTGGGTATGTGTCAAAAATCTTCTTGCTTTCTGCCAAACCATGACTTTGCATGGTTCAGAAAACTTTAATTGGAACCTCTTTAGCAGAAATCTGGTTAAACAATGAATAAAATCACGGTATTAGGGTCGAGGATAGATGAAGTAAATGATGTTTCACTCAATTTTGTTCAAGAAAATTGGTTTTGTTTAACTCAATTCATGCTGTTAAAAGTTTCACATCACTGCTACAACATGATCCTTTTCAGATGCACGCATTATTGGGAGAGAACAAAATGGATGATATAGTTGACAAAAGGTGCAAGGACGTCGATGCAGACACTGTAGAAGCAATTCTTGAAATAGCAGCCAAGTGCACAGATGCCGACCCCGACAATAGGCCGTCAATGAGTCAAGTGTTGCAGTTTCTAGAGCAAGAAGTCATGTCCCCATGTCCTAGCGATTTCTACGAGTCACATTCTGATTATTCTTGAAACATTATGTAAACAGATAGGAAATGCTTATTGACTGACCCCAGATCTGTGAATGGTCTGCAGCTCAGTTGCAGTCCATGAACATTTCATCTCTCTCAGTGAAATATGCAGATCACGGAGTTTGATAGGTTGCATAGCTCTGTCTTGACTGGTAAGTTACAGATAATATATGGTTTTGCAGAAAGAAAATTGTGTATCATAATGATTATTTTATTTTTGAATGTCGAGGTTTTGGCCAAATGGTTTCTAAGTTTCAACTCCAAACTTTGCCACCTACTGCCACTGACCTTTGCCATAAATTTATTCCAATTCTTTATTAACTTCATTTTGTCTTTTCCCTCTGCAAATAACGAAAACTGTAAAATTTGTAGACATTGCTGATTACTGGACAGGTTGAAAACTGTCAATGGCTCTGTTTCTGAACTAATTTTTACCGTAGAAAAAAGAGTGAAATCCCATCTCTCTGATTGGCTACTTGTGATCTTTCTCGTAATTCTGGAACAGAACAAGCATGGGGAGAGAGGTTTCTATTAGTCATACTTTTTTGTCATTATTAATATGATTTGGCTTTTGAATAACACTGAAAAGTGTCTCTTTATGTGGCCATGGCTGACCTTTGGACCTCATCAAAGGCCAAACCGCAATTAGTTTGGAGTTTTTATTTCCCTTCAGATGGTGTCTTTGTCAGATTCACATTTTGTGTTCAGTATTTTACATTTCGTGCCATGCCATTCAATGTATTGACAAAATATTCTATCTTTTTTATATCATTTACTTTGTTTTGCGGCTTTCCCCGTACTCTCTCTCTGTTCCACTTGATCTTCCTCTATTTTGTCACCAAATATCCAAAACAAATTGTGGTTGAGATAGAGAAACAGAAGTGTGGAGGTGGGTGAAGGGTGGATTCCGGTATGAGCCTGCAACTGAAGCCAATTCACCACCATCTCCGCCACCGTGGCCGCCGCCATTCCCACCATCAGCAGCAATATGATCAAGCCAGTTCCAATGTACGATTACAAGCTTCATCGGCATCTCCGCCGCCGAACCAATCGTTCGTTTCTCTGCTGCCGAATTTCCATTTATGGAACGTAAATCGAGGGATGAGATTATTTGGCGATCGGAGAAGACGAAGCGGTCACCGGAAAATTGCGGCGTCCGGCATTGTTGGTACGGCGGTTTCAGATGGCGCGAAACCAGAAAAGGGCTCTGCCTCTCCTTCCCTCAGCGACATCCTCTGGCCTTCTGCAGGTTAGTCCGAAAACCCTAGAAAATTGGCCTGAAGTGAAACTTGAAGAGAAATTGGGAGATGGGTAATGTTGTTGTTGATGAAACGAAACAGGGGCATTCGCAGCAATGGCAATGCTGGGGAAAATGGATCAGATTCTAGCGCAAAAGGGGCTGTCTATGACAATCGCGCCATTGGGCGCCGTCTGCGCCGTCCTGTTCGCGACTCCGTCGGCGCCGGCCGCTCGAAAGTACAATATATTCATGGCCCAGATTGGGTGTGCGGCAATTGGGGTTGCGGCGTTTACTCTGTTGGGGCCTGGATGGCTGGCTCGAAGCTCTGCTCTTGCCGCATCCATGGCGTTCATGATCTGTACTGGTTCCACCCACCCACCTGGTAAAATTACGAAACCCATCATCAAATTCATTTGAATGTTGGATGTTGATTGTGTTGATTTACAGCTGCGAGCTTGCCGATTCTGTTCATCGATGGAGCGAAGTTGCAGCATCTGAATTTCTGGTACGCTCTGTTTCCGGGAGCTGCTGGCTGTATTCTGCTTTGTTTGATTGTGAGTTGTCTCTCGCTCGGATTTGGATTCCATGTTTTCTTATTTTGTGTGCCTAAGTTTTAAAATAAATTTTTGAAGTTTTTGTTTTTGAATTTGGCTAGAGAATAAATATATTTTTAAATTAAAAAACTAAACACGAAATAGTTATTAAATAAAACTTAATGAAAGCAAAAAAGTTCAGCTTACTTGAAAATGACTACTTATTTAATTCTTTTTAACAAGACATACATAATTAAGCATTTGATATGGGATGACTTTGAAGTTGAAATATATATATTATATATGTTTGTATTTTTTGAAGGAAAAAAAACCAATGAGGTGTTTCTCCAGAATATACTTTTGAGTGAAATTTTAATTGGTTAAGATTACTTTTTGTATTTTAAAACTTAATTCAAACTCTTCCTTAATGTGTTGCTTTTGTAATTTGATTAACTTGACAAGTTTTTGTTTTAGTATGGATTCAAGTGAGTTGAATTTATATTTGTTGGGGTAATTTAAGGCTCTTTCTCTTATTTATGATAAAATTTTTTACTATAGAAAAATCCTATTGTCAATAATTTTTAGATATATATACATAATTAATGCAATGTGTGAAAGTTGAAGTTCACATATACTGTATTTTCAAAAGAAATTAATATTTATGTTGAGGATCTAATTAATATATTGTAAATTGAAAAGATTAATTACAATTCACTGAGTTTAAATTACCTCTTATTAACTCAATGAGTTTTTTCCTTTTAAAAAAAATATTTTTTATTTACTATAAATTTCTAGTTTTCTAAAACTAGTTAGATAGTTATACTAAATACACTCTCAATTATAATTCTTCAAATTTTTTTGGGTTGCAGCAAGAGATAGTTGTATACTTGAAGGAGAAGTTCAAATTTTGAAGTGTGGAAGAAAGAGAGCAGCCATTATTGAAGGTGATGATGCTGTGGGTTTTGATTCAAGGGACGGCCTTATGATCTTATGGAAATAATTCATTTCCCAACAAATATTTAATTCTTATCATCACAAATTCAACCCCACACCCAATTGTCCCTTCATTTTTTTCGTGAACATTTCAAAGTTTCAATTATGTCTATAAACATGAAATTATAAAACGTCGATGTGACATAATTTTTTAATTTTTGAAAGTATGAATTCTACAAAACTAACTTATGCAGTGCGTTTCTTTCATTAGCATTTTTGTTTTAATATTGAGTTTTTTTGCATGACATCTTCATTATTTCAGTTTACCATTTTGCTGAGGAAATATTTTGAAATCTTAGTTTAACTTTCAAAAAACTGTATGTTGAAAGATAAATAGAAACAAAGTTGTTTTTGTTTTTGTTTTTAGAATACTGCTAATATTTCAACAATATTTTAAAAAGACATAAACATGTTTAATTTAAAAAAAAAATTAATGAAATTGAAAGAAAAAACCCTCCAAACATTTTTATTAGATAAAAACTTCTTGTGCATACCCATTAATAAATAGGAGTACGTTGACTCCATAATGACAAATAAATGATGGACAAAAGTGACTATGATGAAATCAGACTATAGTATTTGCATGTCAATTTAAGATATAATTTATTTTATTACTGCTTTCAATTATGTTTCCACATGTTGTTTAACTAGAAACAATAGTATTTAAATGCTTAACACTTCATTTACATATAGCTATCGCATCGTACTAAATCAATTTTAAAGAATAGTATTTTTATCTGAAATTTTTAACCTCAAAATATTTAAAGGTGGAAAGTAAAGCATGAGTGGAGTAAGCTATGGATATGACGTGGAGTGGAACCCACAAAAATCGGGTACCCGTGTGACACCCAAAATCAAAGGGTGCATCCCGTCATTCAATCACCGTCGTAGACACCGTTCCCCTCAACCCCACCTCCTACTTCCTCCCTATTAATATACTCTTCTTATCTCCGGTGATAAGTGATTGTCATATTCAACATTTTACAAGGTTTACAATTCAAGATGGCTAGGATACTTTCCCATTTATATCTAAAATTTCAAATATAAAATAAGATTAAAATTTTGAAAATGTATTAGACACTTTCAAAATTTTAGAGACTAATTTATTAAATTTTTGTTAAACTTGAATTGAAATACCTGTTAAAAGTTGGAAATTAATAATTTTAACTTAAAAATTTAAAACCTTTTAATGAATAAATAAACAAAACGGGAAACGGGGGTGGGGGTGGGGGTGGAAGTGGTGGGGCCCGGGTCGTGTTTGTGACTGGATCGGGTCACGGATCGATTGCCAGGTGGTCAATCATGTCCACGTCAGTGGGCCCCGTCACGATGGAGATTCCAAGACGAGGCTTTGGGATTATTTTAACATTAGTGCTGTGACTGTCCCCACTTTGATGGTGACCGCTCTGTCGTTTTAATAAAACTGCCCTCTGTAACTCATACTCTGACAAGATTATGCCCATCATATGCACACGTGGCTCTAATCTATCCAATCCCCTCACTTCCGTGCTTTCATGGTCGGTAGATCTAAACCGGCTGCGGCCGGTAAATTACCGGACACGCGTCGCCTCTTCATTGGAGCTTATTTTGCCCTTGCTACAGTCAACGGATAAGGCAGCCCCTGCGTTTCCCTCATCTTTTACAATACCCAATATATCGCCGCCACGTACCCCTTATTTTCCTTCTTTATTATTATTTTTTCTTATAATTTTATAATATATCATCTAAACTTGGTGTAAATAAAAATCTTTGAAAAAATATATTGAAATCTATTTTCTTTGCCACCCTTGTATTTTCATAAATAATACGCCTTAGACATGGACCAACCCTGCTAAGACTAAGAATTTACTGTTAATTTAAACATAATTCAAATACGAAACATTAATATATTCTTTTTAGATACAAATTTAAAATTATTTTTTTCCCTGTGTCTAATGAATCATTCTAAAAAAATGAATTTAATAAAAATGTAAACTAAAATTTTTTTGAATAGTTTAACTTCAATCTTTTTATAGGTAATGGAAGATGATAAATTCTCCGTAATTATAATTCCTTGATTTTGAGGTGAAATTGACACGTATATATCGGACAAAGTATAAAAAAGAAGACAGGGATATGTTTGAAAAAATGTATGGGTTACATTTTAGGAGAAAGGTTTTTGATTTGGATGGGATAATTTGACTAAACTCAAAAGTTTTATGTGGGGGTGTAAGTGGGAAATCAGCATCAATGGACACCATTAATTTAATTTTTTTAAAAAAAAAAATTCAAGGTTTAGAATTATCATTAAGAAAGATCCATTGATTTGATTACATCTTGATCCATTGTATTTACAAGTCATTTTCTTAATGAAAATTTTGTCTTGCCAAGGAAATCAAACCACTCCTCTTTTGAACACAGCGCCTCCCACTTCAAATAATGCCCTCTGATCCTGCATTCTTCATCAACTCTACCAAATCACCATGTGCCCTGTCCCCCATCCACTCTTCCTTTCTTCTCTCTCCTCTCGAGTTCGGTAATAACTCCAAGTTACAAAGCTGTATCGCTAGACTTCGATGGAGTGCACTATTCAAAAGAAAGGGTAGGATCCTGAAGTTGACTGCCAAACACCCTCATAGAAAAGAAGAATCCCCACCAGAACAAGAAACTTTATTAGTGACATGATTCCCAAAGCTACCCATTAATGGCATATGGCAAAGTCAACTGGCTTTGCTTCAACAGATTGCTTCAAAAACAAATCAAATGGCACAAGGATTACCCTCATTTTGTTTGTGGAACCACTGCTCCACAAAGCTACTCCAAAAAAAGAAGCCTTTTTCTTCTCATCATTTTGCCTTCTCACCCATTTCCTTCTTCTTCTGGTTTCCAACAATTGTGAAGAAATAAAGGCAACAGTTTTATGGTCAAGAAAGAGTGAAAAGAAATGGCATTCAGTTTGCAGAGACATGTGTTGGAAAACCTTATTCTCTTCAAAAGTATGAAAGTAATGCATCCTTTAGGAGGCAACATAATTGAGAACAAGATATTATTTAATCACATTCAAAGGAAAACAGAGGATTATTCAACAATAAAAACCACCACCCTCAACCCAAACTCAAGAACAAGATTACAGGATGGATCGAGGTCGACAGAACCTAAACTCACCTAGGCTCGACACATGGGATTGGGCTGCCATTGCTTGGATTTATTGCTTAAAATTACCACGAAAACATGCTTTTACAGGAAGAAGACACACAACACAGAAAAGGACTCACTAAGACCAGGACCAAAGGGCATTGTCTTCAATGGGGAATACAAAATTACAGGTACTTGTGGGCGGGTCAGAGTAATCGACATCTTCCAGCTTCGGGAAGATGTAATGAGGCAATAGATTCTTTCCCAAGTTATCTTCTTCGTCTTGGGATAAGTCGGACTGATCGGGATCGAAGATATAGGAAGAATCTCCGGCCTCCAGGAGTGAAGAGTGAACCCCATCGGTGTAGTGTGGGCTATCTGAATCAAATATATCACTTTTGACTGAACTGATATCCTCCTGCTTACAAGCTAGCTTTGAAGATTTCGAGTCTTCATCTTCCAAATGTGAATCAGCAACCAGATTATGTGGTGGTTCTTCAGCAAATTTGTCAGCTTCAGACAGCACAGAGTTTCCACTTTCTTTTTCTTTGTGTAGCAATTTGTCCGTTAGGAGAAGAACCTGTAATATCCAAGTTTTGTTTCTTAGTAACTGTGGAAACCCAACAGAGGTTAAGCAGCAATGGAATTGAATTTTAAGAACATTTACTTTACCTCAGCTTTTGAGTAGGTTTTCATATTCAACCTTGAGGCTTCCATAGCTGGATTGAAGAGCCTCATAATCCTTCTCCAGCTGTTTGGTCTTCCACCGTGCCCGGCGATTCTGAAACCATATAGCAACCTGACGAGGCTGCAGCCCGAGGTCCTTTGCCAATTGAACTTTCCTTTCTGGTTCGAGCTTGTTCTCAATTTCGAAACTCTTCTCGAGGAACCGGACCTGATCAGCATTCAGACGCCTCTTTTTCTCCGGATGGTGGAAATAATCATCCAAGTCTTCGTCCCCATTGTCTTCACTATCGAACGGGCAAAAAAAGGGTCTATTCGATCCGTTTCGGATATCTTCGAAACTCATCATGGATCTTGAACCTACACACCAGAAAATTCTGTTATGAAGATCAAGTTGGGCAACACATATAATCACAAAGCCATTTAATGTGCCATTCATACCACTCTTAAAACATATTCTGTGCCATTAACCACAGAACACTAAATGATTATAAAATGTTTTCTTGAAACATGTAGCAACTAGCAAGTTTTACTCCCCAAGTGATATATCTCGAGTAAAACCAGTCATACAATCTTCTTCACAATTGAACTGCAAGAAATTTATAAGCTAAAGTTTACCAGAAGCATCAGACTCAGCAAACAAGCAGAGAACAACTAAAATCAGAGAGCAAACTCAGCCAAAAGGCATTTACATTCACTTACGAGAATCAGAGATCAATGATCCAATCTAAACGGCGATTAAGAATTCAAAATTCAGCAGATGCGAAACTACTTTACAACAAAATCAACAGAATCAGAAATCTCAAAGAAGTGAAAAGATGAAGAAGAGGGAGTTACCGAGGGGAGAGGGAGAGGGAGAAGTAGAAGAAGAAGAAGACGACCCAGAAAGGAACAGAGCATTAAGAGGCTCAGACGCAAAAGAACCACTACGATTCTGAAGCAAAACACTATGGTTGGAAGAACCACCGCTCAAACTACCGTCATCACTGCCGCCGCCGCCGTAGATCCTCCGACCCGCCATATCCCTAAAGACGCAGAAATGATTTCCCTCCTTTTAAACTGACCATCAAACGGACAAGATTAACCAGTGGGTGTGTAATTTTTGCGGGGGTTGATCTAGGGCTTATGGCGGAAGAAACTGGTGATGATGATTTCGGTGATGTGTGAAGTGTGGGAACAACGGCAGCTCACACCCATCACTCAGAAGAAGAGAAATTAGGAGATGGGCTTTTTCTCTGATTTTTTTCCCCCCTGAGATTGAGAAGAAATGGTTTCTGGGTTTTGAGCCTACTGATGTAAAGAAGA